AATACAAATGAGCCATCTATAGAAAAGATATAAACCTAAGCTGGGAAGACTGTATGTGTACTTTGAAGAATTTCAGGGAGAACTTTAAGTTAAACCAAGCTGACCCAGCTGTAACCCCCAAGAAAGCATGCTTGGAATGTGTTTGTAACCAGAAAGCTTAAACTTAATTTTGTGTCTTCCAAAGAAAGACTTGGGTTTTTAAGGAGAGGATTGAGATGACGTGGAAATGGGAGTGGAAGGTCCAAGAAAGGGAACTAGGTTTTGTGTCTGAGCCACAGTCTGGGGATTCTGACCAGGGGCGCTATGTAGAGTCCTCGACTAGACTTCTGTAAGGCCAAGAACTGAGTGTGAGCCTCCTTTTTTATTTTTAATACTGGAGTTTGACAGCTGGGCACCAGTGGCTCACCCCTGTACTCCTAGCCACTCAAGAGGCTGAGATCTGTGGATTGTGGTTTGAATTCAGCCTGGGCAAGAAAGTCTGTGAGTCTCTTAAATCACTAGCTAACCAGCAAATAGTCAGAAGTGGAGGTCTGACTTAAGTAGTAGAACACAAGCCTTAGCAAAAAAGCTAAGAGACATTGCTCAGGCCCAGAACAGGCAAAAATAAAAACTGGATTTGAATTCTAGGACTTAAGTTTGCCAGGCAAGTGCTCTACCACTTGAGCCATATCCCTAACCCTTCTTTTGGTATTTACCAACTTAGTCCCTGGCATTCGGGTTAATGCATCAGTCATCTCTGAGCCTAAATCAGTCTCCTTTGGAATTTCTTGCTCTTGGACCCCCTGACAGCTGATAAGCAGTCAGTGGGAAGTGCTGATAGATAGGCCATGCCCAAATTTCTCAGACAGGGACTCTAACCTGCAAGTTAGAGTATTTTTCCTGTTCTTGAGCTGAGGACTGTGGCCAGCACAGTCCATGACATGTAGGAAGGTGGAGAGGTAAGCAGGCATGAGATACATAGTTAAGAACCATAACTTACTGAACACTATTGGCCTTTAGGCTCACTGTGTTAAGTATTGGTGTGTGTAACAATTTAGTCTTCATGACAACTCAGTGATGCAGTTGTTGTAGAAGTGACACATTGAATATCATCCATAAGTCTCTCAGCCTTGATTCAGCTCACCTACTGCTAAATTCTCCATATGTTTTGTACATTTAAAAGCTTTTTGTCTGAGTTGTGTGTCTGTAGTTGTGTGTCTGAAATCTTGGCTATTCTAGAGGCTGAGATATGGGAATTGTGGTTTGAAGCCAGGCCATACAGGAAAGTCAGTTAGCCACCAAAAAGCCAGAGAAGGAGCTGTGGCTCAAGTGGTAGAACACCAGCCTTGAGTGAAAAGATCAGCGACAGTGCCCAGGCCCTGAGTTCAAACCCCAGGATCAGTACAAAAACACTTATTAGTGCAGATACAGATTGGCTCAGAGAAACAATTAGTGAAAAGAAGGTGGTGCAGCACAATGCATATGTGCTCACTTGTGTAGAATTGTATAGATAGACATGAAGTACTTTTCTAAATACAGAAATATATTCTGGAATTATAGGCTTTGAACTGAGATCCTTATGTCTCAGCCTCCTGAATAGCAAGGATTACTGGCATGAGCCCCTGGAGCCTAGCTTTTTTGTTGTTGGTGGTCGTGGAGCCTGAACTCTGGGCCTGGGCGCTGTCCCTTGGCTCTTCAGCTCAAGGCTAGTGCTCTACATACTTGAGCCACAGTGCCACTTACGGCTTTTTCTGCTTATGTGGTGCTGAAGAATCGAATCCAGGGCCTCATGCATGCAAGCACTCTACCACTGAGCCACCTTCCCAGCCCAGAGCCTAGCTTTTTATTTTTATGTATTTATTTAATTTAGTTTTTTTTGTGATTGAGGGCTTGAACTCAAGGCCTGGCTGCTCTGTCCCTGAGCTCTTTTGCTCAAAGCTAGTGCTCTATCATTTGAGCCACAGCACCACTCCTGGTTTTCTTGTGGTTAACTGGAGATAAAGAGTCTTGTGAACTTTCCTACCCCAGTTGGCTTTGAACCATGGTCCTCAGATCTCAGTCTCCTGAGCAGATAGGATAATAGGCATGAGCCACCAGCACCTGACTTTTACTTTTATTTTTTTTAATGAAGGAACAGGAAGGTTTTGCATATGGAATTAGAACTAGAAAAAAATTTTACTTTCCTCATTAAAAAATGATTGGGGGAATTTGGTACTAATTAGGTGTATTTATGCCTAGGGAACCTGGGAATTCCTGAGTCTTCCCTCACCCCACTCTCTGCCCTGGAGGCAAATGTGTGCGCATAGGAACAGAGGCTGAGAGAAGTTGGCTTGGCTCCCAGACTTGAGTGCCCCAGGCTCTGGTGGCCTAGGCCAGGAAAGGCAATAGTTAGCCTTCCTAGTAGCTCACAAGGACCTGTGTTTCCCACCTGTGGGTCTTAAAGTAGGAGAGAGAATATAGATTCCATCCACATGCCTAAGTGGCTTTGTCATGTACTTTGTAATTTGTAGCAATTGAACCTCCTCCTCAGTTCTGTCCACCTCCAGTTAGAGTGGGTAGAGTCATGGCCTCATTTCCCTCAGGAGCCCATAGGGTATTTTGTTACCTGGACTCCAGGAAGGTTAAATTTCTGGAAGTTATAACTGTACATAAAGACCACAGTATGATCTACAGTGGTAGTAATAATCATATTACTTTTTTTTTTTTGCAAGTATTAGGATTTGAAGTCAGAGCCCTGAGCTTTCCTTCAGTTTTTTTACTCGTCTAGTGCTCTACCACTTGAGTCACACCTCCACTTGTCTTTTTACTGGTTCCTTGAAGATGAGAGTCTCACAGACTTTCTTGCCAGGGTTGTCTTTGAACCACAATCCTCAGATCTCAAGTTTCTGAGTAGCTGGGATTCTAGGTGTGAGCCACCAGTGCCTGGCTACAAATATAAGCTTTTAAGTCTTTGATCTTGCTTTTCCCTTCTCCATAAAACCAAAATACCCTCAACTTAAGCAACATTAAGCCTATTCCTTCATCTGTGTGACTATTTAACCCATTTGTCCTTTTCATTTTTTTAAGGCTCTGCTATTTTGAAAGTAAATTTCAGCTCTGTTGACTTTGTGTCTGAAGAAGTTTTTCTTCTGCTTAAATGAAACAATAACTTATTTGTGGGTTGCCAAATAGAAAGGCTTCCAGAACCACTAATGATATCTTACATTGGCTTTGTAGAGGAATGCCATGTTTTGTGGTGATAAATTGTTACAGAGCACATGTCAGCAGTCAGGAACCACCATGCAGGCAGTGTGTCTGCTGCTGGAGTAGCTCCTTGATAGCGGGTGCTGTCTGCTTCATTCATGGCTACATTTGCTGCTTCAACTTTGGGTTGACCCAAGTCAGTGCATATAGAAGCATTTTATTTGTTTGTTGTCAATCCAGGGGCCTGAACTCAGGGCCTAGGCACCATCCCTGAGCCTCTTTGTGCTCAAGGCTGGCACTCTGCCACTTGAGCCATAGCGCCACTTCCAGCTTTTTCTGTGTATGTGGTACAGAATCGAACCCAGGGCTTCATGCATGCTAGGCAAGCACCATATTCCCAGTCTCATTTTATTTTTTGTCCCTGTATTGGGGCTTGAATTTGGGATTGCAAGTCTGAATTATCCTGCCTGACTTGTTTGTTGAGAAGGGGAGGAGGGGGAAGCCTTGCTAACATTTTGACTGGGCTGGTGTGTGTGCCCACGTGAGTGTGCATGCACACATGCCTGGCCTGGGGCTTGAACTTGGCCTGGACACGGTCCCTGAGCCTTTTGGTTGCCGTTGTTCAAGGCTAACACTTAACCACTTGAGCTATGGCTCCATTTCTGGCTTTTTGGAAGTTAATCGGAGATATTCCTGTGTATTCCTAGCTACTCAGGAAGCTAAAAATCTGAGGATTGTGGTTCAAAGCCAGTTCAGGCAGGAAAGGCTGTAGGACTTTTATCTCCAATTAACCAACAACAATAACAAAAAAAAAATGTCTCATGGACTTCCTTGCCTGGGCTGGCTCTGAACTGTGATTCTCCTGTCTCAGCCTGCTAAAGAGCTAGGATTCCAAGTGTAAGCCACCGGAGGTCAGACTGACTTTGAACTGTGGTCCTACGGATCTCATCAATCAAGTAGCTCAGATTAAGCCATTTCTTTACTAGAGAAAAAAAAGTGGGTTGGGAATGTGGATTAGTGGTTGAGTGCTTGCCCTGCATGCATGAAGCCCTGGGTTCGATTCCTCAGTGCCATATAGATAGAAAAAGCCAGAAATGGCACTGTGGCTCAAATGGTGGAGTGCTAGCTTTGAGCACAAAGCTCAGGGACAGTGCGCAGCCCTGAGTTCAAGCCCCAGGACTGGCAGAAAAAGAAAAGTTTAATCATGGCCTCCTTAAAGCTATTTCATTGTTTTTGGTTTTTTTTTTTTTCATGCTGATGGGACTCATTTCATGAATTTTCACCAGAGTCTTCAAACAGTCATATTTCTTGTATTAATTCTCTGGCTTTCTTGGAGCCTGTTTCTGTGTAATAAGCTAGTATCCAGTTTGTCCTGTTTTCCTGTCTCCCTGGCACAGAAGTAGTCTGAGGTTTGGTGGACCCAGAAGTGCTACTTCCTTTTCTGGAGCCTTGGCTCCCCCTGCCTGCCTGCCTTTCCGTTTGGATGTTTTAATGGCACCCTCCCTTGCTCAGTGATTTGTGTTCAGGAAGTTGGGCAGTGATTTACTTGTTTCTGCTTTGTGAACTTCCTCCCCTCACTTCCTCAGGAAACCAAGCAGCTCCTGGCTGGCTGCTGGTCGCTGATTTTATGTGATAGAAGACAAGGCCTTAGGGTCTGAACTGGAGCCAGTTTTTTCCACCTTTGTCTTTTTACTGCCGTCTTCCTCTGGGCGTCATAGGAACATTTTGTGATTGGGTCAAAATGATGTCATGTCCTCCTCAGCCCTGGGAGAGATTGCTGCTCCGCTAGAGTACAGACAGAGCCTTCCTTGAGTAGGTAGGGCTGCTTCTGTTCAGCAGTAACATCACCGAGTGAGCTGTTGTGACCCTGTGGCCCAACCATCATCTTGGGTGAACAGCTTGGCAGGAGCAAAGGGTAGGTTGAAGGGATGAGACTTGTGGCAGGTAAGGCTGGTAAGGTGCATTCTGGGTGCTTTGCAGGGCTCTTGAGTGAAGGGAATGAAGAAGTCCTGTCTGCAGTGAGGTATGTAACAAGGGCATTGTTCTTTCTCTGGACTCATGCATTTATTGTCCAGATTACCAAGTTCACACACAGTACCTACTGTGTCTCCAACGATGCCCCTTGCTGCCTCATGAATTGTAGCTTCATTTATGGAAGGATTTGTACCACATCTCCCAGAAAGAAGTAACTTTTGGTTTGGATTCTAAAAAGTAGATGGTAATGCCACTCACCAAGGCAGGGGAAGAATGTCAAAAGACTTGGGAGACTTAGGCTTTTAGGTGTTTGTCTTGAGGATTTGTTTGGTAGGCCGTTGATTTGTGAGGTCTTAGAACACAGGAGGAAGATGTAGGCTAGAAAGATGGATCTTCAAGTCAGGTGCCCGTGGCTCATGCATTTAATCCTAGCTACGGAGGCTGAGGTCTGAGGATCGGAGTTCAAAGCGAGCCTAGGCAGGAAAGTCTGTGAGACTCTAAGCTTCAAAAAAAAAAAAAAAAAAGCCAGGAGTGGAGCTGTGGCTCAAGTAGTAGAACACTAACCTTGAGCACAAAAGCTGGACAGAGCCCAGGCCCTGAGTTAAAGCCACAGGACCAACATAAAAGGAAAGATGGATCTGCCTAGGGAGGATGTGTTGATCTTGGAAACAGCTCACGGCCCAGAACCCTGAGGAACTTCAGCACTGAAAGAGGATTGAATGGAAGGTACAGAGAGAACTGGGGGCATGGTTCAAGTGAGAGTGCCTGCCAAGCAACTAGACACTCTGAACTCAAATCTCCAGTATTTCAAAGGTCACAGTGGTAGAGGAGGTCTGGGAGAACACACACCTTTGTGTTCTCACCCACACAGGAGTCTCTCAATGTGTAACAGGTACAGGAGCCAGGGACGGAACAAAGCATGGAATCTTTCAGACATCTCCTCATCTGGATGGGTATTTTAAATTCATGACTGTCGAGAGTAAAATTCTTCAAAGCATTTTTTTCTGGCATACATTTCTAAATATGGCTTGTGTCAGTCTGAACTAAAAACAAGGCATTGGTTGGGCTTTGAACTTCTTAGACAAAAACTTCAGTAATCTGCTACAAGAATTTCCTGTGGTGTCTCCATATCTCCATGGTATCCAGGGCAGATATTTGGGTTTATATTATTGTGGGCTAGATAAGAGAACGTTTTCTGTGTCTAAAGAGGGAGTTGTTGTGGAATAGATAATTTTTTCTGTTGTTTTTGTTTGTTTTCGGTGGGAGTCAGGGACTCAAACTGGATATCTGATGCTTTAGGCTCATTCACAGGCGCCCTACCACCTGAGCCATGCCTCTAACTCCCAATTTTTATCTAATAGCTTTATAAAAATACAATTCACATAATATACAGTCCATTTCTCTCTCTTTATATATATATATATATATGTTTATATAGATATATAATTTGTAACTAAAAACCATGAATTACAATCAATTTTGGAGCACCTTTTTTTGAGGGGGAAGGGAGGCAATACTAAAGTGTGAACCCAGGCTCACAGTTGTTAGGTAGCCACTTGCCATTTGAATTACACTGCCAGCCCTTTTTTGCTTTACTTATTTGTTGGATTGGGCCCCAGCAGTCCATCACATATAGCCTTCTGAGTTGATGGGGATCAACTGACTTGTTGGTTGAGATGGGGTTTTCACTAACTGGGCTTCAAACCACAATCTTCCTATTCTACTTACCAAATAGCTGGAGTTAGAGTGTGAATCACTATGCCCAGCTGAGTATTTGAAAACTTCTGAAGCGGGGCTTAGTGACACATGGCTGTAATCTCAGTACACAGGAAGTGGACACAAAGTGATAAGTTTGAGAATATTATGGGCTACATAGCATGATCCTGTCTCCAAAAGGAGGGGGGGAGTATTTTTCATTACAAAGAAATCTATCCATTAGCTGTCAATCCTTATTCCGTTTCTCCTCCCCTTTACCCCAGCATTAATCTAGTTCCTATTTCAATGAATTTGTCTTAATTTATCACCTCCCACCCCCGCCTTTCTTTTGCTTTTTTAGTGGATCTGTAGACTGAACTCAGGTACTCATGTTCACCTAATGGTTGTTTCTTGGTTGTGACTCTGAGAAACCAAGACCTAAGTCTATCCTTTTTTTTTGGAAGTGCTGGGGATTGAACCCAGTGCCTCGTGCATGCTAGGCAAATGTTCTACCAATGAACTATATCCACAACCCCACATCACCTCCCTTGAGGGCACAGATATCGCAACCTCTGCCAGGACTGCAGATCTGTCACTTTTTAGGTGGAGAGGGAGCCAATTTCTTGAATTTGTAAGGCAGTGAGTGCCACTGGAGAGCAATCAATAGCTCATTGATGCCAGATTTCCAAAGAGTCTGCCAGTGTACTTGCTGACTCTGGAGACCCAGCACTGAACAAGGCACTGCTGTCCTTAGACACTTATGTGCCAGCTGTTGTCTCTAAGACCACACAGCTTTGATGTTTAGACAGAATAGTAGGTTTGGTTTTCCCTGTGTGGGGTCTGAACTCGGCCTGGGCACTATCCCTTGGCTCTTCAGCTCAAGACTACGTGGTAAAGTGGTAAAGGCCACTTGAGCCACAGTGCCACTTCTGGCTTTTTCTGCTTATGTGGTGCTTGAGGAATCAAACACAGGGCCTTATGCATACAAGGCAAGCACTCTACCACCTTCCCAGCCCTTCCTCTCTTTCCTTTCTCCCTTCCTTCCTTCCTTCCTTCCTTCCTTCCTTCCTTCCTTCCTTCCTTCCTTC